TTTTGTATTTTAGGGAAAGATCTACAGGGTGTTCAGGTCTCATTACTAGATCGGACTCTTAGTGATTCTCCTGTTTACAGCCTCCCAAGAGATGGGATTACAGGTGTGCACCACCACACCCAGTCTCTCAGCGGGCCCCAGGGACGGAGTTGGCAGGGCAGGCCTGGGATCAAAACCTCCGTCCCCTGTGCCTGCTTGCAGGTGCTTTAATCCGCTGAGCTATATGACTAACCCTTAGAATCTTAGACCAATTTCATTTTTCCTGTATTTAGGACAGGGTCTACAGGGTCTCACTATGTCAATCAGACTAGTGATTCTCCTGTGTTCAGCCTCCCAAACGGTGGGATTACAGGCGCGTGCCACCATGCCATCTCAATCACCATCTCAGCATGCCCTAGGGGTGGGGCTGGCACGGTTCGAACCCTGGCTGCTGCGCTGTGCCTAAGCAGGCGCTTTAGTCTGCTGAGCTATCGGGCCAGCCCTAGGTTATATAATCTTTATTTTTATTTATTTATTTATTTTTGCAGAACCGGGGATTGAACGCAGGCTCTTGTGCTTGCCAGGGAAGTGCTTATTCTACTGAGCCATCTCCCTGGCCCCTATATAACCTTTATAATTCACACAGCTATATTTATACTATGCTAATTTGAACAATATACTTCTGACAGACACATACAACTTTATTTGTTATTAATTTCAATTACTTTCCTACCCTTTTTAACTACAGGTGCTAACAGGGGATACAATAACTATTCTGAGATTCAGTCTCCCTCTAATTCTCTGTGCCTAAAGACAAGATTAAAGAAAAATGAAATCCAAATTTATGGTACCAATTCTCCAAGGAATTACGAGAAAACAACTTGCTTTTGAATGTCTGTGACTATGAATAATAAATGGCAGGTTATACATAATTTCAAGGGTAGAATTGATAAATTTGCATACATTTCTCCAAGGCTCTTAAGCAAATAAAAAAGGCAAAGGAGTGCTTACATTTTCCTGGTTTGGCTGGAATTCGAATTACAGTGGGCTTCCTGGTAGTTGCTGGTTGAACTGCTCTTTCTTTTGTTGGTTCTGTTTTTGTGGGGAGCTGAAAGGGATCTAATGAAAAACATAGTTTATTTTGCATGTTTTAGTTAACACGGACTCAAACAAAAAACCTCATTCATAATTTAAGAGTCATATTTTTCATGCCCCAGGGAAAACTATTCATGGATAAAAAAAATCTCAGTTTGCAGAGACAAAAACAAAGTTGGAGCTCATAAAAGGAAATAATTTAGTACTCTGTAAATAATTCATGTGGCTTTTCTTCCTCTCTGATGAGAGATATCCAGAGCAATTCTGAATTATGTAGGAACAAACTTTCAGGGAACTGTATTCATTTCATAAGTGTCTACCTGAAAAAAGGAGACAACCTCGCCGCATCATAAGGCCTCCAAGATCCTCAGGAGAGAAGGCTGTTTTCTCCTGCGTTTCTTGTGTGTGTCTTGCAATACTTGCTAACAGGACTCACCAGTGGCCCTCATCCTCCCCAGAACCCTGTCTCGCAGGCTCAGCATTGTTGGATTTGCTCGATTAGTAGAACTATATTTTGCTAACGAAAGAATGAAAAAATGACCCCTCCCTTCAGACATTTAAGCTCAGGCTAGCACTTATGACTCAGCATTTCTCCATCTTGACTTTTTTTTTGAAGACTGGGTCTCCCTATGTATAGTTCAGGTTGGCCCGGGCTCATTATGCATTATGTAGGTCCAGACTGGTCTTGAACTCACATTGATTCTCCTGCCTCAGTCTCCTGTGTGCTGGGATTACAGGGTACAGTTACTGAGCTCAGCATCTGCCTGTCTTCAGGTTTTCCTGGGTTGTGATGCACTTGAGTACAGATCAGTGGGGAAGACATCACTTCAATGAAGAGGCACCAGGTGCCTGGTTTTCATCTTGATGGTAGTATGCAGGTCTCTCTAGCTGTACAGAATGAAGCTGTCTGTGCGTGCGTGTATGTGTGAGCATGGCTTAGGACCTTGTGCCTGCTGGGTAAGTGTACTACCACTGAGCTACATCCCTACTTCTGAGGCTTCCTTTATTTAGTCTTCTTATGAGAGAGGGGTTTTCTCCAACAGACAAAGTTGTGGGCAACATATAAAGCCAAGACAGCACTTGGGAACTGCAGGCATTGCTGGGCAGGAAACTGATCATGGGCATTTGCTAAAATGTTTAAAGTTTGCAATTTTTGGCTTAGTAATCTTATTTTTGGATATTTACTCTTCAGAAATAGCACTATTAAAAATGAAAGTGCTTATAAAATTATTTACTACAGCATTTCTGCCATGTCCAAAATGAAAACACTCCCAAATTAGAGAAAACAATCTGAACATTCAGTAGTGTTCAGAAAGACAACTTTGTTGTACTCACAGACTAAAGGATTTTAGGCCAGTGTAAGGGAACAATGAGGGGACATTTAACCTGAAAAGAAGTACAGAAATCTCAGCACTGAATGAAAAAAGCAGCCTACTGAGGAATGGGTATGGTATGACAACTATTTTGGTGAAAAGTAGCAAAAAGTCCACGCATGTGAAATGTTAGTTGGCATGGCACGTCCAAGGCACAGAAGGCTCCACCACTCACACTATGAACGTTTGGATGGACGAGACAGTTTTAATCTTATAACTAAAATCTCTGAATTGTTTGACTTGTTACAAATATATTTTATTTTTGTAAAATACATTTTACTTTTGTAAACCCCTCAAAAAGTACAATAAAAGTTATTAGACTAAAATAATATCTCTGCCAAATAAATCATGAAAATCACTTAAAAATGAGGAAAAAAAGAATAAAATTCTTAAATTTGTTAGTTGTCTTTTCAAGGCAATAATGACCATAAAACATGTTTTTTAAAACATAATTAGAGGGGCTGGTGAGATGGCTCAGTGGTCTAAAGCACCTACTTAGAACAAGCTTAGCAAAAACAAAGGGACCGCAGTTCAATCCCCCAGCACCACATGCCAGCCAGCCCCGCCCCCTGGTGGGCTGTGCTGGCCACACACACAATTTAAAAAAAAAAAAAAAAAAAAAAAAAAAACTTTCAAGATATCATGTATGCATAGTGTACTCTAAATAACTACTATGAAAACAACAGTATGTAATGTATTAATTATTGAAACTGTCCTGCTAACCTGTTTTGAAACTGTCTCATTGCTATTTCATTCTCATTAAAATTAATTTAAAAAGAAGTAAAAAAAAAAAAAATAAAAAAATAAAATAAAACATAATTAGAAAAATAATCCCTTTTTTTTGTTTTTATGAAACAGGGTTTTACTACGTATTGCAGGCTGACCCTGAACTCATTAATCCTCCTTACAGTATCCTCCTTGAGAAGTGGTATTAATTTGTCTTACAGATGTCGAAACCAAGGCACTGCAAGGTTAAGCAAACACAGCAGTGAAGTGATCACCTACCTCAGCAGACTGCTGAATTCCGGGATGATGGGCATGTGCCACCACACCAGGCAAAAACTCTTCTTGCCAGGGCTGGGGACATAGCTCAGTGGTAGAGCTTGCACCTAAAAATGTTTGGCACCTAAACGACTTCCTTCTTCCGAAAAAAATTCTACTTAAAATCAAATAATTTAGATATGTTTCCGAATTATCTAATTTAGAGATATTTTGTTTATAGTAATTAGACATAGTAATTGTCACCTTGAATAATAAAACTTGTTAGAAAAATCACCTTATTTGCAGTGCTAAAGATCAAGCCCAGGCCTTGCACAAGCTCAGCCAAACCCCACATGCTAATTTTTATTATTTCTATGATTTCTAAAGATATCAAGGCTAAACATCAGTGGTGGAAACTAATCTTCTATGGTGAAGATAACAAGAGGTAACACATTCAGCCTAATTATGTTTAAGTTCAACAGTTTTTAAAAGTTATTATTTTATTAAAGGTTAGAACTTGTACATGGGGGCTGAGGAGATGGCTCAGTGGAATAAACACTTGCCTGGCAAGTGCAAAGGCCTGAGTTCAATCCCTGGTTCTGCAAAAAACCCAAACAAACAAAAAACAAAACAAAACAAAACAAAAAAAAAACCCAAAACAAAACAAAAAACCAAACAAAACACCTTGCACATGGTCTGCAAATTAAATAGACCCCAAAGCTATTACACACTAAAAACTAGCACCCCCATCCTGTATACCTAGTTCCCCATAAAAGACAACTTTTGTTACCAGTTTCTCAAACATTTTTCCAAACATATCACATATGACTTTTCACACAAACAATAGCTAAAATACCATGAATTCTATTTTGTGCCTTTCATTTCCCACCTAATAATGGTATAGAGGTTGGCCCATACCAAGACATAATAGCTCTGCCTTTTTTAATTGCCATGTAATAATTTGTTTATTTCCAAAATTTGATGGGAGAAGCCTTAATTTAGAGCTCAATATGGCCCTTGGAATGTATGAAGTCGAACTTCAAATTGTTCAAAAGAACAGGCAACTTTCAAAGGCAACATCCAACTCACAGGCAACATCAGATTCTCAGAGTTCTAAGATCTAGAAAGGGTAAGAGCCTTACATCTGTAATTTTATCACAGGCTGATTGCTCTTGCTTCTTCAGAAACAGCACAGCCTATCACCAGAAGAATTTCCTACCCAAATCTAAAGGAAGTCACTGCATTTCCCCCTATTTTTAATTAATGTGTTTATTTTGTCTTTCTACCAACTTAGACCAACACCAATTATTCTGCACTTCCTGCCAAACAAGAAGGCCCCTTTATAACTATATCTACATGGTTTTCATTACTGGGTTGAGAGACACAGTGATGATAAAGTAGTTTGCCGCCTGTTACCTATCTCTAATAATATGCTTGCCATCAAATTAGTTTCACGATCCCTGGCTTGCTTTCCCATCATTTCTTTCCCTTGAGTTCTGTTAATAGCAGAAATTGGCTGCTAAACTATTCTTCCGGTCTGTGCAATGGGGCTGACAGCAGACATATTCTGGGTTGTTTTTTTTTTGACAGTGGTGTATGATTTGTAAAGGTGTGAAGTGGAATTGCTAATACTTCTCAGCTCCATTACATTAACCTGGAAGGCATTATATCCAAGAAATGGATCCAATATTAAATTGCCTGTTTTATGAGTTTTCCTTTAATAATTTTTCCACTCTTTACAATGTTTTCATAGCTTCAATATTTTTTGATCTCAATTTCCTGAGGTTAATAATGGCAACTTCATTTTCTGAACACTATATTATTAGATTTCCTTTATTCTTAAGAGTAGAAGACAAAGAATAGGAAAGACATATTTGTGAGTTTCTTTTCTCCTGTGTTCTTCCCAGTTTCCAGCTGATGCTGGGGCAAGATTTCACAGAAGGAAAAGAAGTCTGTACAGTATTTATAGTGACACTGCTACTGGAATACTATACAAAAAAGGTCACAAAGCCCTAAATCAGATTCTCTCCTTGTGTTAAGGAGTTCAGAAGTGATCCTCAAGAAGCAGGTACAAAACAAGGCCAGTGAGCACTCTAGAGCCACCCTTATGGAGGGCAGTAGGTCTGAGTTGGCTCAATTTAGGAGACTGCTCAGGAATCTGAAAATAAAGGCCTTAAGCAGGGTTGTACAAGGAGAGACGCAAATGAGAAGCAAATTCAAGAGCGTCTCAGAAAATAAAATCATCAGGTGATGGTAACTAACTGGATGTGAAGGCAAAAGAGTAATAAAAATAATTACTACTTAATGTCTGCTTATCACATTTCAGACAATCTGTAAGGCCTTTTTGCAAAGTCATATTTAATCCTTATAACGTGGAGCAGTAATAATTTATCTTAAGGCACTGCAAGGTTAAGTAAACTGCCTAAAATTACATGACAATTGAGATAAAGCCTAGAATATCCCAAATCCTAGCTGTGTAATTTGGTGAGAAGGCTCCAGGATGGTCTCTAGGTTTCTCCAGAGAAAGCTGGGTGTGTGACAGTATCACTAAGTGAGGTACAAATTCAGGAAGAGAAGCATAGAAAGATGGTTCAGTTCAGTATAACTCCACAGTCAACAGCAAGAGTCACATGAGACAAACATATTACACATTTTGCTAACAGACAGCCCCAATAATTAATTGCTGTGCAATGAGGTAGAAGTCAAGAAACAGAAAGGGCTGAGTATCAAGCATGGGACTGTATTCATGTTGAATATGCATTGTTAACTTTCCTTTGTGAAGATGACTATAATTATCTCCTTGCTGTACAGAACACATTTTCAGCACTTACTAACCAGGCTGCCATTTCATAGAACCTACCAGGCTCTCAAAAAAGTAGTATTTCTTTGTTTTGAACTGTTTCTATCTCCTAACAATTTATTGCCATTCAATTTATTCACCCATGCCCCGCTCTCAGGCTCCTCACCCAAAAGGTCTAAATAAGAAAATGATATTAACATAGACTTGAAAAGTTTTAAAAAAGTTGCCTGAAGAGTCATGAAAATGTAGTGAACATGATACTGAAGCAAGTAAACTAGACCGAACCTCAGCTTAAAAATGTGAGTTTCATGATATTAGCCGAACAGTCATTGGTATCTGTTCATGTTTTTATCTGCAAGCTGAGGCCACAGATCTCTCACTGAGAGATATTGTATTAAATCAATTAACTTCTGAGATGTAAGCATTAAATATTAAGCAAAGTGTTAGAACACCAGAGAAATGACATGTATTCTAATTTTTTTCCTTTCACACTTTATGGATCAATAGTATGTCTTTTTAGTGTATATGCCACAGCTAGGTACAACATTGTTGGCATGGTGAGCTATATATATATTTAAAATATGCCTGAGGTGCATAGAATTTAGTTTTGAAATCACATACTGTACCGTTCTGAGGCACATTAAACATAAGAGGATAGTTAAACTTTTGTAAATACTATGAACTTTTTATAAATTTCACCCAAATAAGTAAACAGTAGCAAAAGGAATCTTTTTTTTTGGGAGGAGAGTACTGGGACTCGAACTCAGGACCTTGCACTAGCCAGGCAGGTGCTTATGCTACTGAGCTATCTCCTGGCTCTGCAAAAGGAATCTTAGCAATGACATATACAGCAAATTAGACAGATCAAAGATAAGCTTTTATTACCACACTCACCATCTAAACAGTATAAAGAAAGAACACATACTCTCTGCCTCTTGGGAACTTTAATTGTCCTCATCTTAGTAGCAAATTGAACAAGTACTTGATTTTATTTATAAATTTTGCATCCTTGAAGGAAAATGTTCTGGGAAGATTATAGAAAAGGATTCTGCAACACATGCCTGGGTTTCATTCCTTGTATTGCTCTTGCATGAGTCCTCCTGGGCTGGGCCTTCTCCTGTGTTATGGTTTGTGTATAGGTGTCCCCCCCAAAGCCTCATGCAGTCTTGGGGCAGCTTCTGGAGCTTGTGATTGATCACTGTGGGTGTGGATGCTGCACCTGCCCTGGGGCAGGTAATTTGCATTACAATGTAAGGTGGGAAGAGAAGCCAGCTGCTTGAGCTGCTGCTACCCCTCCCTTGCTCTTGCTCTTTGCCACCACCATGAAAGGTTGCTTTTTGCTCTGTGCTGCTCTGCATTGGACCCAGATGAGTATGGACTGAAACCTCCAGTAACTGAGCTAAATACACCTTTCCTTCCTTCATTTTGAGTGTCCCAGCAACAAGAGAAGAGTAACTAAGACATCCTGGTAGCCCAGATGGGGCTGCCCTGGAGCCACTGCACAACTTCTTATCTATGGATGCTTTTACTCCATCTTCCCAATGCCACATCCTTGACCTTGCTGGGTCCTTTCAATGTAAGCCCTGAACTTTCACCTGCCAGAGTAAGGGGCCCAGTCTCATACCTAGTCCCTAGCTCCAGTCTGCTCCCTGCTAGCCTACATAATATTAATTAATGTGCTGTGTCTCCTCTCTGTCTTCATTCTGTATGCCATTTCTAAATGTCTTTGTTCATCCTTGTTCCTATAATAAACACATGCTTGCACATACACGAGTACGTGTTGCCCATCAACTCACTTCTCAGCAAGTGCCATTTTTGTCATTTGAGAACCCTGTGATGGGTTTAGGTTTTCTTCCGCTACTGAGTTTTACTCACCTAGAACCATTTCTGAACCAGCAGATTCTTCAGCCACGTTCCCAGATGAGGAGGGCAAAATATCATCATCAAAGCTGATAAGGTCGATGTCCCCCAGAGGCTTGCTTTGCAGAGCTGGAACTGGTGGAGTGGCTGGGGGTCCTTCTCCCAGTGACTTGAATGTTTTGGTTTGTGATGCTAGGGAGAGTCGGGGAGGCACAGGGACTGGTTTAGGTAGAGCAGAAGGGCAGGGAGAGTTTTCTGAGGAAACTGATTTCTTCGGCAGCAAAGGTCTTGGAGCAGGAGTTGGGATTATCTTCTCAACACTGGGGCTCTGGACTGTGGGTCCTCCACCTGAAATCTCATGATTACCACTTCGTATAAGGCCAGGAGTTGGTTTCTTTGGCAATTCAGGTTTGGTTATAGAGATGCTTCCTGCTTCTTGCGGTGAAGAGTATGGAGTGACCCCTTCCTTGGGGGTCACCTTGAGTCTGTTTTCAGTCCATGTGTCCCATTCTCCAGAAGCTCTGAAAGCAGCTGGTTTGGGAGCTACAGAAGGCTTCCCTGAGGAAACAGCAGGCTTTGGGGGAAGTGTGCGAGGAGTAATTTCTGGTTTCTTGGTCAATCCTGAGGTTTCCACATTTGTCTGACCTTCAAATGCTTTAATCCTTGAAACAATATTATTTTGGCTTTGTTCTGTGTTCATAATGTTCATCACTGCCTGACTATCTAAGTCGTTATTATCCAATAGAGACTGGTGCTGGCCTGGGGATGACTCCTCTTCTGGGATTGCTGGACTGATTTTCTGGTTACTTTTTTCTTTAACATTTGTATCTCTGACTACTGGCCTGAGGTTGCTTTTTGTTCTTGGTCTTGGCACAGGACATCTTGTAGCACTGGTGTTTTCTGGACAATTCTGTGCTTTGGAAATATCAAAGACTATTAAAGGCGCTACACTTGCTGAAAGATTGCCACATGAGGCTGCTGGGGAAAGCTGCAGAGGCTTGAGAGGTGCCTGTAGTGCTGACAAGACAAAGAACAAGACAAAGCTGCAACATGATCATTAACAGCAACAGCAACAATAAAGAAAATACACAGATTCTTACAATATACTTATAGGCTAGCATGAGATTTTTGTTTCCTTAACTAGTAAAAAGTGATTGCAAATTCACTTTGCAAATCAATGGGGAAATGTTTATACTCAGTTTCCTACAGGAGAATTATTCAAACTGTATTTGTTCATGTAACAAATATTTATTCTGTAATACTTAAAAACACCATTAAATTCTTATTCCCATTAGACTTACCACATGAAACATTTCTTTCTGGTTGTCAAAAATTTAACATTTTTAATGCTTTTCCAACTTATTCATCTCTGCTACCCTGTAAAATACTCTTAAAAAGCCTAACAATAACTGTTAGTATTCAATAAAGTCTAAATTATTAAATATAAAATCCTAGGGCAGGGGAGATAGCTTGGTGGTCTAAGCATCTGCCTGGCAAGTGCAAGGACTGGGGTTTGATTACCGGTAACACATGCTATGCAGGCTTCTAAGCACCCAGCTTGCCCTGCCAACCACTGAAACCGGGTGTGGTGGCGCAGGCCTGTGATCCCAGAGCTGGGGAGGCTGAAACAGGAGGATCACTGAAAGTATGAGCTGCTTAGCAAGACCCTGTTCCAAATACATACATACATACATACATACATACATACAAAAAAAATCCTTCTCAGTGGCAATAAAGGGCATGCCAGGTAATATGCAACAAGAGTTAAACTGACAACATTTCTGTGATCGGAATGAGGGTGAGCCCAAATGATAGGAGCTGCAGTTCTTAAGAATGATCTATTATAATAATTGCTACATATTCAAAAAAGGAAAGTATATAGTGATCATGACTGGAAAGCAGAGCTCACTCAACTATGCACAAGTTACAAATTATTTTAAAGGCTGGCAGCCTACTGATTAATGCACTAGAAGTACGTCAGAATTAGGGAAGACAAATTACTAGCTTTACTTTGAGGCAGATGGTTGTCTATTTCTTCTAAAAAGTCAGTCTGAGTTGCAGAAGTAATAGTGTGCCTTGGAGTGGCAGCAGCATTATTATTATTTGTAGTATTAACTTGAACTTGGTTGATTTCTTTTATGACTTGTTCATAAGAGGGCGGGAGCTGCAAAATAAAAAATTGAAAACTTCAGATATCTATGCACAATAGCCAAGGTGTTGACAATCTCCTTGTTTTTACCTTCTGAATTTCATTTTAAAAATAAAATGTAGGGCCACTGAGATAGCTTAGCAGTCTAAGCACCTGCCTAGGCAAGCACAAGGACCTAAGTTCAATACCCAGTACCATGTGCTATACAGCCCTGCCGTGGGGTGCTCTGAGCCAGCCACCAAGACCGGGTGTGATGGCGCAGGTCTGTAATCCCAGTGCTGGGGAGGCTGAAACAGGAGGATCACCATGGGTCCAAGCTGCATAGTAAGACCCTATACCAAATACAGCAAATTAAAAGTAAGATGCAACTCACCTCAGCAGGAACCAGCTCATTTGGCCTCCAAGGGCCAGCTGCAGGAGCTGGGGGAAATCCTAGGCCTGGGTGTGGGCCTCCTGGAAACCATGAGGCTGGCCTCAGTGGCTCTGCTGCCACAATGGTGATCTCTGGGCGCCTAAAAGACAGAACCCTCTGTGAGGTTTTACAGGTTGGTGATAAGCTATCATTGTCTTCTCTGTGAATGTTCAGATCCATGAAACATCTACCACCTAAAATAGTGAAAAGAACTATCTGTCACAGGAATGACTTGTCTGGCCTGGACTATCTCCTAACAGTTTACCCAAACAGGCATAAGGGAACAGAGAGCACTCATCCTCTGTGACTTTGACCTCAAAAAGAGATACACTCAGAGATATGCCTTGGCTGATGAGAATAAGCACGAATTAAAACCTATACAAACTGTTTATTCCAAGGCTGTGCTGCTATATAGCCTACGGCACAAATATATGGCATAAGATAATGGTTTGGCTTTGTTATTATAAACTATATACTCAAAAATGAAAATTACCATGTAAGAATGTCTTCATCTTCCTTACTCTGTCTCTGTCCCAGTTTAAATTTACATTGAGATATTTTAAATTTATTTTTACTTCTAGGCCCTGAAGTAAGTATCATTTGATGATTAACCTCTAATGCTGAGCAGTTCTAATAATTCAGGATGATTTCTTAATCTGATTCTTTTATGTTTAAGTTTTATCTTCAATCTGATTTTCTAACAAATACCAAATTGAATGGGGAAATCTCAACTTTTCTGAGTCTGTTTTCTCATCTAACAAATACTGATGATGCTACTTGCTCTGCCTTTTTTAGTAATCCATGCAAAGTAAAAATGACAAAGCACTGTCATTAGCAAAACTGTGCCTGTACACACATCTTTCTACTAGCTTTTCAGTAGAATCTCACCATGGATTGAGCTTGAACTAAGAACCTCTGTGTATAGAGGTTGCCTGGCTAAATAGTAAGAGGTACTAATTAGTAAATTTTAAGTACCATACAAACATTAACTCTTATACAATCTTGTGATACAGTTAGACTTAGTATCCTTTCAAAGATGGAACATAGAAACCAAGGAGGCTAGTTTGCCCACAGTCACATGGCAGGAAAGTAGTGAAGCCAGGATTTAAACTTGGTTTTGTCTGACTCTAATGTTCTTATTCTTCAATATTCTATGTTCCCTGTAACAAAGTTGAAAACAGGAGTCATGAGTTACAAAACCCTATTCATTCAATTATTTATCTGTCTATCCTTCCATCTTTCTGTGTATTCTCTATTCTACCATTTTTTGGTCCATTTTTCTACTTATCTAGCTAGTCTTTTCTCCCTCTTATTCTCCACCTTGCCAAACAATCATCTACCTATCTAGGCAGTCTTCCTCTTTTGCCTTTCTAATCAACTTTTTAATCCTGTCATCCATCCATCCATCTATCCATCCATCCATCCATCCATCCATCCATTTATTTGGGCAATATTTACTAAGTACCCATGAAGTACAAAGCATTTCTATGAAGCAGTTGCAACAATGCTTTACATGTAGCAGTGTTTTACTTGCATTTAAAAAAACTGAATTTAGTAAATGATGACAGTTAAAAGAGTATTCTTGGGCCCAGGGGGATGGCTCAGTGGAATGGCTCAGTGGAATAAGCGCTTCCCTGGCAAGCACAAGGGCCTGAGTTCAATCCCCGGTTCTGTTAAAAAAAAAAAAAA